CTAGCACCACTGACACGCAATAAATCTTTAAGCATATGTACAAAAAGCATGCAATTATTGCCGGCTCCCATTTTTAATATTTACAAGAAAATTCACTGATCCTTACATTTTCATTGAGTCCTCCTTCTTCTCTGCGGCACCCTTCACTGGATCCCTCGATATTCAGGTCCCTGTTTGGGTACCACTTGTGGTGGCCCATGCCTGAGTTGGGGGTTGGGGAGTGAGGACTGAGAAAGGAAAGACCACTCAAGCCTGAGTGGAGACCAAGAGAAGCCTGATTTATTTCACAGAAAGAGCTCCTTTTAAAGGCACATCAACAGGGAGCACCTGAATCCTGCAGGTAACATCAGATCTTTAACTGGAAGCACCTGAATCCTACAGTAAACGTCAGCTCTTTAATGGAAGCAACTGAATCCTACAGATAATGTCAGATCCTTGGCTAGCTCTTTGAGTTCCTCCAATCACAGGTAATGTCAGATTTTTGGCTAGCTCTTTGAGTTCCTCCCATCACAGGGTCAAAAAACAAGTTTAACACGTGGAGTCCTTAAAAAGGAACAAATGTTAACAAATGCTAATTAGGAACATCCTGACCACACATTTTGTCAATGCCTTGATTATAAACAAAGACGTTATCTTTCAAATGCCAGTGGGTCACGACTGGCTCCCACACAGGACTTTAAAAATTTTATGGTAAATGCAGTCTCCTCAAATTGCCTAGCTATCTGGGAACTTGTGGATGTCCTGCCTCAGTTTATCCAGGATGTGGGATTAGGGAGCTATGCCAACAAGCTTGGCTAGCATTTGTATTTTTCATCTGAAAGTGATTTGGTTAACATTAGGTAACCATAAAGAGATTTCTCCTCATGTAGTAAGATAATCAATTACAGATCCTAACTTTGAGAGAACAGATGAGAATTGACATTGGGATCCTCTCCAGGAAGTCTCGGGCCAGCATGCCTGAGAGACACTGGGCATTGGAGGTGAGAGAGAGGGAAAGGCTGCCCCTCTGCAGGGATGAGAGCCTCTTTCATCATGACTGGCGGGGACCTCATTCCTGCAGGACAGGTCCACTTGGTCACAGATTTCCTCATGAGCTCTCTCTGTGATGCCCCTGCTCTCCCATGTCTATTTCTCAATGTCTGTCAGACATGAATGGAAAAGCTTTGCCCCACTGGGAAATAGAGATCATATCACTTCAAATTTTCCACCTGCCATGTTTATTTCCCCCACCTCCACATCTAAGCCAAACTTCTCACATATTCCCTGTCTCATTCATAAATGAGAAAAGAGTGCACATGGGACTCCTCCCTCAGCATGACTTCTGTACCACGGTCACATTTATGTGCCTGAACTGTCCTGTGGAATCCTCAGAGAGAAGACACGGCTGGATTGACGACACACCGTGCGTGCTACTCGCCTGCCTTCCTCAGGGGTCTGTGTATTCAGATACAACCCACACAGGGCACCATTCTATGGACAATGCCTGTACTCAGGGTGAACATCACCAGTGTTCTGGGGCCTCAGCTCTTAGTCCTGGGCTCCATCTCACTCCATTTGGGGAAGAACACTACCTTTCATACAAATAGTCTCAGACTTGCACTGGAATTGTCTCTAGTTTCATCATCTGACTAGATCCTCCTCCATCCTAATGACTCTTAATTGTCTTAATGAGTGGGACACTTGGGTCTACTTTTAGTCTTCATCACTTGGAAAGCCAGTTTTCCAGCACTATTTGTGAGAAAGGCTACTTTTTCTTGAGTGTAGGTGTCTGGCTCCTTTGTCAAATGTCAGGTGGCTGAGTGTTTGGGGTTTTTTCTGCATCTTATCGGTTCTGCTGCCCCTCGGGTCTGTTTTCTTGGCATAACCATGTGATTTTTAACACAGAATTTTTGTAGTATAATTTCACATCAGGGATTGTAATGCCTCCTGTCCTGCCTTTGTTGCCCAGAATTGTTTTTATTATAAGTCTTTTCTGGCTCCAGGTGAATTTTAGAAATGATTTCTCTAGCTCTGTGGGGTATGCTGATGGTATTTTGATTGGGATTGCATTATGGGAATTTTCACTATGTTGTTTCTCGCTACCCAGGAGCAAGGGTTGTCTTTCCATTTATGAGATCCCCTTCAATCTCCTTTTCAGATAAATTTAATTTTCAACATAAAGATATTTTACAGCCTTTGTGAGACTGATGCCTAAGTATTTCATTTTTTCAACATTCCCCTTCTGAGTATCTACTCAAACAATCAAAAGAATTATACCCATGTAAATAGCAGCAATATATGTGCACCCATGTTTATAGCAGCAGAGTCTGTGATAGGTAAAACATACAAACAACACAAGGGTCCATCATCTGAATAATGAATAAAAAAGATGTGATTATTTTATATAGTGGAGTACTATTCAGTCATAAAGAGCAATAAACTAGAGACATTTCTGGGCACATGGGTGCACCTTGAGAACACACACTTAAGTGAAATAAATTTAACACACATGTGTAACATTGCATTGTCTCTCTGGTGTAGGAAACCATAAGTGTAAGCAAGAATCAAATAAAATATTAGAAAGGATGAACTAGAAAGAAATTGTTCAAAATTGTTAAAAGAGTGAGATGCTTGGTTAATAATTAAAATGATTTATGTAAAAAGAAGGTATAGTGTTATTACATGAGCTCAAATATAGACTAGCAATTGAAAATGTGTTCTTTTAAGATCATGATATACAGAGTACTTACCATTTTTCCTCTAATAACTTGTTACAATTTTTTTCATAAAACCTATTTTATATTTTCTTTATTTTACTTACTTGTATTTCATTAAATAACAACAGCAAAAATCACGGTCTCAATTCAATTTCCTGCTTAAATTGAAATTAACTTATTTTTTAGTTTTTCCTTTACAACTGTAGTTGAGATCAGATTCTACATTCCATTTACATCATTTGCTAGAAATAAAGTGTGAAAAGAAGTATGTAGTAGTGGAGGAAGGCAATGCATGACCTTAGAAATTGAGAAAAATGTAACTTTAAATTTTTTAAATTAGCCAGAACGAAAACATTTTAGAACTACTTTCAGTGAAAGCAAACATCAATGAAGTTATCTTAAAACTTTCAAGAAAAAACAAACAAACAAACAAAAGGGCTGCAGATTTAGCTCAGCAGTTCGGTGGCCTGCCTTGGAAGTGCAAGGACCCGAGTTCAATCCCTGGTACCCCCCCGTAAAAAAAAAAAAACAACTTTCAAGCTCTACCTCCATTTTGAGTGTCATGGAAGAATTTATGTGCCCCACAGTTAGGGGCTTGGTAAGTATGTGGAGAACAGAGGTAAGCAGCAACTCTTCTATCTTTGCTTTTCTTCTTCTGCAAATATAAGCAGCACAGGAAATAAAAAACACTGCCTTTTCCATATTGTTATGGTATTAGCCTACCATTCTTTGTGCTAAAAAATGCTCACATCACAAACACTGAGATAAACAAGTCCCACTCTTCTGCCTTTCTGCAATCCCAGGGTGGAGTTCGCTCTCAAGCAAACCCTCAGTGCCCAGCTTCATGTGCACATCGCCTGTTCCGGAGCAGCTCTCCTGGTCTGGGACATCACCGTCCCCAGGAGGGACAACCAGTCCCTGCCTTGGTCCAAATGGAGATACACGAGGCTTTCCTTGCTCACTTTCTCTATTTTTTTATTTTCATCTCTCATAGGATAACGCCAATTTTACTAAAAATGCTCACTTGTGCTCAGAAATTACCTTTAGTCAGAGTAAATGTTAGAAAATGAATTGGAATTTTCCAGGTGTCATGGCTGAACTCTGGGCAGATCTTTTGGATGTGTAACTCCTATAGGATTTGATGAGATAAATCCCAGGTCTGTCTCGAGGAAGATAGAAACTTGCCCCACTTCCTCCTGAGTGGTAAAAGGACTTCTGCATGTCTAAGGAAACATTTTCAAAGCATTTCCTGTTCTTAGCTACAATAAGAGTTTTTATGAAAAGATCAAATTTGCATTATAGTTTAAAAGTATGGCTTCAGAGTACCTTGTTATAAATGAAGTAAAAATATTTGGAAACTGGATGGTATGCCTGGATTAAATTTATATATGCCCTGTTAAAACTGACCATTATAGACATCATTGTAACTTAGCCTAGCTTATTAAGTTTATTAATATATGAAGTCTTGTGCAATTAATATGTTACTACAAGAAATGATCACAATAAAAATGTTTCAGTTTTTACAACATTTCTAGTAAAGTACACATTGCCAGTAACCCTCACTGAAATCCTCTCCTATGATTCATACACTTCTTCCACTGATGCTTTCAAGACAGACACACTTATGGAAGTCCTCTGCTTGACTGTACTTTTGAGATAGGACAGAAAATAGAGAGTATTTTGCTGCCTAGTAAAATCCAATGGGAAGCCTGGCTCCTAAAATATGACAGCGTTTTCCTTCACTTTCTTCACCAGAACTAGCACATTGCACCAGCTAGTTCTTCTCCAGAGTCAAAGCAAATAGACAGGTAAACAGTTTGAACCAATTCAGGGCAAGAGGGTGGCCAAAATAGCCCAACTAATTAGAGGAGAGAGTCCTGCAGAACTGATTCCAAAAATGACAACAATGACGGGATGTGTATGTTTGAATGAGGAGGAGGGGGAATTAGAGCAGGGATTGTGACAAGGAGTTTTGACTATAATATGAATATTTTAAAAAATCAACCATCCCAGAAAGGTTTTTTAATTATAGCTCACATTCCGAAAGCTCTTAAACATTCCCACATTTTCCATTTAATTTCTCCAAGTTCTTAAAGTATTGTTCTCACAATAATAAACCACACAGGTTCATTATGTTGATGAGGCAGAAGCAAAAAGAAAAGAAAGGAACATTATGATCTAGAATACAAAATGATAGTAAGAAATTTTAAAGATTTAAAAGCTACAGATTAGTTCCAGAGCCCTTGAAATTATATATTTTTCATATGAAATCCACTCCTAAGCACAGGGAGGAAAAAAATGTACCTACATTTTCAGAGAGCAGATGCTGTGAGTCACTCTCCTCAGGGCCCCCAGCACCTCCTTGTTCCTCAGGCTATAGATCATGGGGTTGAGCACTGGGGTGAGGATGGTGTAAAAGACAGCTACTATCTTGTCCTCTTCGGGAGACCGGAGGGATTTGGGGCGGAGATAAGTGTAAGCAAAGGGTGCAATGTAGAAAGTCACCACAGTGAGGTGGGCACTGCAGGTGGAATAGGCCTTCTTCCTGCCTTCTCGTGAGTGCATGCGGTAGACAGCAAAGAGCACTTTCCAGTAGGAACCCAGGATAATGACAGAAGGGAACAGGAGAAAGAAGGTGGTGCTCAGAAAAACAGTGTACTCATGGATTCTCGTTGCCCTACAGGCCAGAGTCAACATGGCTGGGACATCACAGAAGAAATGAGTGATAGTCCTAGACTTGCAGTAAGGGACACTGAGGATGTACACAGTGTGAGCACAGGCATTGACAGCGCCCATGGCCCAGGATCCCAGGATCATCAGCACACACACTCTTCTGTTCATGCGGATGGGGTAGTGCAGAGGGAAGCAAATAGCCAAATAACGGTCATAGGACATCGACATCAGGAGCAGCCCTTCTGAACCTGCTAGGGTCAAAAAGAAGAAACTCTGCACCCCACACCCGATGAAGGAGATGGACTTGTTCCCGAACAAGAAACCGGAAGCCATCTTGGGCACAGTGGTGCAGATGTAAATGAGGTCCATGAGGGAGAGCTGACTGAGCAGGAAGTACATGGGTGTGTGGAGCTGGGCATCCAGGAGGATGAGCAGGACCATGCACATGTTGCCAGTCAGGGCCATCAGGAAGATGGGGACGATGAGAGTGAAGAGGAAAAGGCCCAGGCTGGATGGGGGGAACAGGCCCAGGAGGATGAAGTCAGTGGATGTCTGATTGTAATCTTCCATGGAGAATCAGTATGGTTCACCCTAAACACAGACACAACAGTAAACGTGTATAAATCATTACAGACTTTAACAAATTCCCTACTAGAATTAGCTTGTGATTTGTTCATTAATTTTAATGTTCTTAAATGAAGGATCTGATTTTAAAAAGTAAATGCCATTTTATTCTAAAACTATACTAATTTACGAAAGAACTATATATGATGTGAAACTTTTATAAAAAATTTGAAAATTCAGAGAACAACTACATTTTAGTAAAACTGCAATTGGTGTACATGCTTACTTCCACATAATAAGTTGCATAAGATCAAATTCTCATATATGTTGAAAATATATGCTTTAAAATATTGTAGAAGCACACATTTTATTCTGGTCAATATTATGAAAAATGTTTAATATGCTTACATATGCTTTTATTCTAAAATTTTTATTTTCCAGACTTATTCCTAATATTTCACAAAAAACCCTCATTTTAAGGAAATACATGTTAATTTTGGTAGTCTGTGCCCTGAGATTCCCTGTCCAAGTTAATTTAGGTCAGACAGCAGTATAAGTCTCTCTGGTTCAGAAAAAAGTAGCCATGATCTGGTCACGCACCTCTGCATGAGTGGTAGTGAGGGACACTTCTTATCTACAGTGCTGCCCATCTTTCTTCCTCTTTAATGCCTCCCTCCACATCCAAATGGGTGACAGGCACCCTGAAAGATGTGCAGTGTGAATCATTCAGGAAATTCAAGGCAAAGTTACAAGGAGACATCACTGCAAATTCAGCAGAAAGTCATCATTTAGGAGCCAAAGAGGCAGAAAGTATTTCTTGACAAAGGGATAAGAAATTGGAAAACTTTTTCCTTTTTTTTTTTGAGAACTTGAAATAGTACTGTCACCATGGGAGGTAGTATAGTGACCACTCAAAACGTGGATCAGATTTGAATGCGGTGTAGTTCTCCATGTGTGGATATGTATTACTGCGGTTTTCACAGCCCTTCTCAGTGAGCAAGTTCATAGTGTGCACATGGCAGAAACAATTTAAGTGCTGATCCACCGATGAACCGGTGAACAAAGTGGGGCAGATGCACACAGTGCGATGTTCAGCTTTCAAAGGGAATGGATATTGACGCATGCTGTAAGGGGTAAACACTGATAACAGTGTCCTGAGCGAAATAAGACAACCACAAAAGGACAGTTGTTGACTGAATTCACATCGTGACCTACCCACCGTGATTAAAATCTGAGAGACAGATGGGGACGTGGGGGTCTTCAGGGGCTGGGTGAGCAGAGAGGAGATGTGAGATTTAATGATTGTGCACTTGGAGTTCAGCAAGATCGAACATTTCTGGATAAGTATGGGGGCAATGTATGCACCGCAGTACGCATGTACTTAGTTCTGCGGAACTGTGCACATGGACATGAATATGGAGCAAAGTTTTCCTCAGTATCTTAACCCAAATACGAAAACTAAACCTCTCTTAAATACACAAAGTCATTCTAAATGTAGATTCCCCATGTATTTTAATGTGATAAAGTAGTATCCCGAGGCATGTTGGAACAGTTCATCTTCCACTGTTGTTGAGTAAGTGGAAACTTGCAAAAAAAGTATTAGAACATTTTATTTTCATAAATTGGATGAGAGTCCATATCAGAGTAGACGGATGCAGTCATTTTAATTTACATAGCAAAGTCCATCTCCGCTGTAGAAAGGAGGATCTTAGAGGTTACTAGCACCCTGGACACTACAGCCACTCCTGTGTCTGGCTGGCACAGTGCCGTCCGTGGCAGCCTGCCTGTGACACAGTCAGGTTGGAACAGGAGCACGGGAGTGAAGAACAAATGGCCACCAGAGCTGCCATTCGACGCTGCACCTCAGGAGCCGGGTCAGCGACTCTCCGCTGCTCCACCTTGGTGGGCAAGTGTTACAGTAGCGCACCGTGTGCTGTCGTGCACACAGTGGTGGAACACCGTCCCTGACTGAGGAGCCTCGGACATCCAGCACTTGCTTCAGTTGGGCGAGAGACACTTTCACAGAAAACCAAACATGCATCTGCATATCAGCTCCACTCTGATCATCTCCACTTACTTAGATTTTCTCCTCTGCCCCTCAATTTGTTTGCCTAGGAGACATCAGTGGCGCCAACATTTACACCAGAGGAAGAGCGGGCAGGAAGCCTCAGAGGGTGCAGTCGGGCAGCAGAGAAGCAGAGGCTTTGGGTCAGGACTCTGTCCTGCTTGCGAGGAGACTTGGGGACAGGCCCAGCACTGGCTGTCCTCACCCGCTGACCAGGAACATGACAGGGTCTGTCACAGCTGATGTGGTTGTGACCCTAATATTATTTCTGTCAGGTTGACACATACCATGATATTTTACAGCTGAGAAAATTGAGATGCAGAGATTGTAAGTGACCTGTGTTAGCATGCTCATCATGAAGAAGTCCACACACATGAAACATGTTTAGATTTTGTATATAAGCTTAATGCCTTACATGCATGTACTCCTTTTTAAGTGTTTATGTTGAAACACATAAGAAGGTATATTTATACAAATAAATATAAATGTTTTTAAACATGTTTGAAAGTCTGATGATTTTTCTAGTATCTTTAAATGCTGATCCTGAGTAAGATGACTCCACATTGTAATCATCAAAACAAGACAAATAAAAGAAGAAAAAATCATTGAAATATTAATTTGCTACAGATGATATAGGATTGAGAAAGTATGTGAAAATCACTGAGGTTCAAGTAGAGTTATTTTAGTTGTTAGTACTTACTTTGGAATCTTGCTGTGTATCATTTATCACCTGGTTTTACTGATATTCCACTTGAACCTGAAACAAATACACGTATTTTATGAGAAAATGTTTTGACAGAAGAAAATGAAAATTTGTGTCTTAGGCCCAGTGATAAAAATGTCCCTAGAAGGAGAATTTAATTATAGAGAAACAGTGTCGGTCAGGAACGTGTGCTGCCCGCGTGTACAGGTGAATTCTGTATGACCATTTGAAGCCAAAGTGCATCAGTTCATTGCATAGACCTCTTTTTCCTCTGCTTCTATTGAGTAGAAGAGGAGACACTCATAAAGGCATGTATTATATTACATTATTAAGATATTAATAAAATATAGATTTTCCCCATGTGACAACCTTGTCAGATTAGGAGTAAGAGAAGCACTGACACCTGACTCATCGGTGCCCAGAGAGGAACCAAGAGAAAGAGCTGGGAACCGAGGAGCGGCGCCCCCCGGACTCGGAGCCGTCCAGTTTCTGCTGCAGCACAGGCTCCCCCACTGTGCTCCCTGTCAGTAGAGGATTCTGAGAGACAGGAATTTACACATAATGCTGTTTTCACTGCATCTGTTCTGATCATTTTCAGAGGTGGAGCAAGCTGAATTCACCAAAATTTCTCCTAAATTTTATTTGAGGTCAGTTTTCTAAGAAATCCTAGATTCAACTTTTAAAAGCCTCCAAAATGAGTGTCCAACATTTAAATACTAATAAACAGATAAATGTCTCAGGTTCATGACGCAGTCTGCCTGCTTCCTCAGCAGTCTGCATCTGTTCTCTCTTCTCTCACTGCCTGAAGTACCCGAATGCCCCTGAGTGGCCATGCACTGACCCTCCCGCCGGTGCAGGGCTGAGCTCTGACCCTGAGAAGGAAGCTGGTCGTCCTGACAGGGATTCTGTGTCATCGCTGTGGAAAGCCACCGCAGTCCTTACGCACACCTGGCCATACCTGCGCCTGCCTGTCCACACCTCTAGGAGATGCTCTGCATTGACCTTGGTGCACATGAATTCACCACACTGTGAGGGGCGCTCTGTGGACTCTCAGGTGACAGAGGGGAGCCCGTGAGGAGAGGAGAGTTCTGCCAGTGTGTGGAGAGCTCTCCTAGGTCCCCTTCTCTGCGAGCATTTGCACAGCAGAGGCACTGAAGAGCAAAGACTGCACAGGGGCCGAGATTATTCTGCTCTGCTCTCCTGGGAAGAAGTGGCTTCACTACACGATGATATAATATTTATTTTCAATACTTAGAATGGTATAAACTTTAGTGCATGAAAGTACCCAGTAATAATTTTCCGTGTTTGAGTGTCTGTAATGTGAAGTTCCACAGTGACTTATCAGCATTACTACCTAAGCAGGGAAGAGATGGAAAGATATCGCATGGAGACATAAAAATCCATTGTGTATGTCAGCCCTTTGACTGCTTTAAGGATTTTTATTTGTCTGCATTGTATGACATCACCAGAAAAAGTTCAGGCTTAGACCTTCATGTAATCCAGGCCTTGACCTTTCAAAGGTCAACTTGGGCTACTCGGGTCTCTCTGGGTGTGCAGAGACCAGATGTGGACACCGAGACGCTGCCAAGGGAACACACACCTGAACCCTCAGGGCAGGATGGGCCGTGGACAGCTTCGGACAGTGGTGCGGGTTTAGAGTCTCCCCACGGACCTTCCTGACCTCATCAGCGTCATTAGGAGCTCGGGGGCTGAGGGACTTGCTTTCCACTCAGCTTCTCCAGTGGTAAAGAATTCACACTGGTTTTGTAAACGGTGCCTATTTGCTTCTCACTGAAGCTTTGCCAGGTCACTGACTGATGTCAATATTATTATTATACTGCTATGATTTCTGCACAGAAAATAAAACGTACATAAGTTGTAAAAGTTAAGTATATAAAACACCAAATGGATTTAAATGCAAATTCAGACACAGCTTCTATTCATGTAGTTACCTGCATTCTACTCAAAGTGTGCTATTAAACCTTGAAGATAATGTGATTATTTCTTACCTGGCTACTTTTAAGCAGTCTGAATTTTCTTTTACCATAATCCCTATTACATATTTTCACAGAGAAATAATATTAGTAATTCCATGTGTATTACTATAATCAGGGAAGGTAAACTAGGATGCAGATGACAATAGTAAGGTTATAAAGGTCCAGAGAGTGAGTCATTACTCATTAAAAAGGAAAACACACACACACACACACACACACACACACACACACACACACAACA